GAGAGAGAGAGAGAGAGAGAGAGAGAGAGAGAGAGAGAGAGAGAGAGAGAGAGAGAGAGAGAGAGAGAGAGAGAGAAGAGAGGCTTGAGAGGACATGGCGGAAAGGAATGGAGGGGGCACCAACCCATCACACTCGCTTGGCTTGTCCCACATGAGGCAGAGCGGTGGCTCACGGACGTCTGACCAGGCAAAGTACACCTTCATTGCCTGGTGCCCAGTGTATACAACGTGCCATACGCTGGACTTGTCCACCCAGCCTGATGTAGTCAGTGACAGGCCCAAACAAATCTGCTGATGGAATTATGAGGCCAACAAACTTGCCGGCCTGAGTTTCTTTGCTTCAGCAACTGAGGCCGGAACACATCTCCTGACACGAGTTTTGATTTGCTCTTAAACCACCACTACCTCTGTCACTCTTGGGAAAATGGGAAAATTCAAAACTGGCAGTTTTCCCATTTTTTCCGAAACTTTTCGGGGGTTGGACGAGGCTTGGCAGTTGGGCCTTGTGGGCCCCTTCGAAAAACAAAAGATCATGTCCGGGAAGGCCGTGCACCAAGTTGGCTCACACCAAAACTCACACGTTCATATCTAACTGCTATAGTGGCCAGTTTCAGATTTTCAGTGTTTGTGTTTTCTGTTTTCTTTCTCCTTTTTGTTTTGGTGCCCTGCCAGGGAGGCATAGCACAGTCCATGGGTTGCTGACACTTTGTGGAGGAGGGCATGCCCACACTATTACTTTGCACAAGTTTGCAGAATGCATGAACCTGCTTTCCTGCCCTAAGTTCAGTTTCAATTTTTTTTCCCTCTTTTGGGCCTCTTCCTTGTTTCGTGGACCTGACACCCTTGCTGCAACGCCCTAACTGAGGGCATACTCACACAACGACTTTGGGCTAGGCATCTACCAGGTATCACGTCCAAAGGGGCGTTTGTTTTTTTTTCTTTTATTTTTTTTTGGCTGCGAGCGGGTCGTTTTTTGAAAGTGTGGCCATGCTTTTTCTTATGTTTTTCCCGCAGAGTACCAGAAATGAAACAAAACGGAACCCAGGCTCGGCAAAATTCGATGCGCAGTGAAAATCAGGGTTGGCAAAAACAGGCTTGGAGGAACTTAGTTTTGCACTTTGCCGCCATTGCCTCTTCTTTTTTCAAAGAGAGGAAACGGAAAAAAAGAAAGTACGATGACCATTCGACTCTTCACCTGCTATGTGAGCTGCTATACGCTGCAAGACGCCCGGGACTCTCTTGCTCCTGACTGAAGTTGGAAGCGGCATCAGCCCAGGCTGAGTAAGGACACAGCAAGAGGGATACCTGAAAAAGCCACAATCACGATAAATTCCCACTAAGTTCCGTCTTTTTCTTTCAAGTAAAAACAATTTATAGAAACACAAATCACCCCCATCCCCCCCCCTTGCTTCCCCGAAAGAAAAGAAAACGAGTGGAAAAGTCGGAACACTATTCCAACCGTGTACTGGAGCCCTGATGAATGGATTCAAACTCTCTCTCTCTCTCTCTCTCTCTCTCTCTCTCTCTCTCTCTCTCTCTCTCTCTCTCTCTCTCTCTCTCTCTGTGTCTCTGCCTCTGTCTCTGTCTCTGCCTCTGTCTCTGTCTCTGTCTCTGTCTCTGTCTCTGTCTCTGTCTCTCTTAATGTAACGAGTGGAAAACAGAATAAGAGCTATTAAAAAAAAAAAAAATCATACCATGTAGGATAGGAAAATCAAACCAAAGCACACCGCGATGAAGTGAAAACCACTTTCTACCCCCTTAAAACCTTGTGTATACCTCTCTTTCTGCCCACTAGAAGGCATTCTACCGATGCCACATTCAAATATAACGCCTGGGTGTTACATATTGAAAACCAGAATCAAAGGGGCGTTAGGTTAGCAAAACGTGAGTAAGAAAAATAATCTCATTCCCTTAGGTTAAGTTGAACATAAGGCCCTAAGGTAAGTTCAACTTACCCTAAGAGAGTGAGATTCTTACCTTCTGTACCTGATAATAACTGCCTGGGTATTATTTTCAGGTGCAGAAGGTAGAAGGAGAAGTTTGAAAGGATGTCAATCACTGTACTTATCCATGAACTGAATAGTGCATAGCACTGCATACATAGATCCACACCTTTGGGTAGGCGTTGGTTCTATGAGGGAACATGGACCAGTGTTTGTGCATAAGCAGAAGCAAAAACAGAATTTGCCAAAGTTTGCCAAGTGCCCAACTAATCCCATGGATCCTTCTACCTTTCCCCGGAGAGATCTCACAACCAACGTAAGGGCTTTGGTAGAAGAGGAAGGATGACGGGCTTCAGCTCAGGTGTGCAGGGCAACACTTGTCAAACGGGGTCCCACATGGGGCAACAACAGTTCAAAAAAGTGGAAAGGGCAGCAAAGGCTGCAGCCATCCCAGCTGAACTGAACATATCTGGCCTCAACTCTGCACAATCTGAGATATAAGGTCGTTCATGGGATTGGCTTCGTACTATAGGAAGTCCATTAGGAACTCCTTTAGCGTAGCTGCTCCTCGGACTAACCTATTGGCTAAGGATGTCCCCTTCCAATGGACTCCTGCATGCCAACTGGCTTTCACTACGTTGAAGAAAGTCCTTACCCAAACACCTGTGATGAAACTGCCTGACCCTGCCTTGCCATTTCTGTTGACCATATATGCAAGTTAGTATGGTGTTAGTCCTTCAGCAAGATGATGGGACCGTCCTTAATCCCATGGAATTCATAAGTAGAAAGATTATTGTAAAAAGGATACAATCTTCTATGAAATTGAGAGAAGAATATAGTTTTTTTTTTTTTTTAATCCTAAAAAAAAAAAAAACTCCATGCCCTTGTATATGCGCTGAAGCAATGGAGACACTTTCTACTAGGGACACACTTCAGAATCTATTCTGATCATTCGACTTTAGAGTAGACAAAACCAAGTGAAGTCAAATGATAAGTTGGGAAAATATGTCCAGTTCATAAACATGTTTGAATTGAACTGGAGCACAAAAAGGGATGCTACTATAACGTTGCAGATGCGCTTTCTCACAAGCCTGACACCTTTGCTGTCATCGTGCATTCTTACTCCCTTGGGGATTCCACGAGGAAGGCAAATGCAGATATGCTGCCTCAGGACCCTGTCTTCTGTCCCATCCTCAGGAATCGGCAAACGGATCCTAAGATTCCTAATCCTATGCTAGCAGCAAGGGAGAGGAACAGTTGTGCATCCTTGAAGACTTACCTCATTGCTGGGTGTCATGATTCTCGTAGGCATTTCGTTTCATGAAGACTTATGTGGCCGTGGTCCAGTGGTTCTATTGGTCAATGAAAGAAGTCCTTAAATACTCAAACATGTGCGAGATGTGCCAAAGGAACAACGTCCACAAACGACCTCCTATGAGGCTTCTCAAACCACTAGCCATTCCAGGTGGACCTGGCGAGTCAGTTTTGGTTGACTTCATTGACCTTAACAAAACTACCCCTCGTGGAATGAGACAGGTCATGGGTTGTGTCAACTGGTTCTCTAAGCACGCAAAGTTCAGTCCATTGCCTAAGGAGGCAAGAGTCCGTGTCATCAACGAGGTCTTCTCAGAGAGATGCGTTAGCATACATGGACCCCCATCCTTTATTGCCAACGACAGAGACCCACGGTTCTGCAGTGATGAGTGGCAGTCCTACTGCAAAGGACTATCTTCACTCTAGATTCGACAAAGACATCTGGCAAACATCCTGAAGTCAATGGACATGTTGAGGCCATGAACCAGATTCTGTTCCGGCTATGCAGACCTGTGATCACACCCGATCAGCAAGATTGCAACAAACATCTATCCAGGGATCAACTGATGTATAGTACCTTTATCCACACTGGCACATGATTCAAGCCCTGTAGGCTACGCTGTGGCTGCATGGCAGAGGCCCAAGACAACTCCTTGATGGACTTATTGACAAGGCTAAGCCCATGCTAACTCCTGGCACAAGAGAGTTCGTCAACATATATGAACTAGAATTATAGAGATGGCACTGACTAACATTTATAACGCCCAAACGAGAATGATTGAACAGGCCAACAGACATCGCTTACCTTCCACCATTAGACTGGCACACTAGGTTTGGGTGAAAAGATCTTAGGTCTCTAACAAAGTGGATATTTCTCGGAAGCTGTTGCCTTCGTATTACGGTCTATAGCAGGTTCTGGATACAGTGGGAGCTGATCCCTTTGGTCCATGTACTGCATATCCCTTCACACCTCAGAACCTATCGTGTCTTTCATGCGTAAGTTGTTGCCTTTCACACCTTCTGATGCATTTCCTGACCTTCCCCCTCAATTTGGTCCACCCATCCCAGGGAAGGGATATGAAGTGCAGCAATGGCGGCCTGGTCAACTGTGACTACCTCATTTAGTTCCTTTTCCAACCACATACTAAGAACAGGTGGTTTACGCGAAAGGAACTTCTCAAGACAGCCAAGTCCATTGTATTATCTTCTGAGCCAAAGCAGAAGGGCTTCTTGCCCTGCTGCTCACCTCGTGGGCACTACCAGCTCGGTGAACCTTGTGGTAGGAATGCAATGTTCTTGCAGTTTCTCAGCAGGCTGTAGCAGTAACTAGGACAATTTTGTCATCTTTTGAAGTTATGGGTCCTAACCGATGACTGAAACAGGCCTGAACCGACAGGTACATCTCTACAAATTCCATAAACTATTGCAGAAACGGAGATTACTGGGCCTGGCCCTTGTTTCAGGCCTCAAGCGACTGCTGCTTTACTTCTGCCTCAAACTGGTACCATTGCTCTCAAAAGGCAGACCCATAACCGTTAGTCCGTTAGTTGGTTACCTTTGCCCCAGAGCGGTATCATTGTTACTGGAAAACACAGACCCATGACTGTTTGTTAGTTTTAGCTCCTAGACAGTAGAGTCCGGGAGGTTATAGTAGAACTATAAATAGAATGGGTCTGAACTGACTCTGAAGGGTTAGACGTCAGACTCTTTGGTTGAGCAGTTGTTTAGTTATCTTGTTGACGCCGCCAGGCTGCTGGAGCAGCGCTATACCTGGGAAGCTGCTGCTAGGGTTTCAGGCAGCACTGAAGAAGGTGCTTCATCTGTTCAGTGTGGTGACAGCAGATCTGCGCTATGGGGTAGGCGCTGCCGTATCTTCTTCTTCGTTGGAGCTGTTTGCTTCTTGTTATGATCCTGGTGAATTTCAAAGTACACATTCATCAGAAAGTACAATGCCGTCCAATTGCAAAAGAAATGAATGAACTTGAGAGGAGAGAGAGGGAAAGAAGAAGAAGAAGAAGATAAAAGAAAGAGGAAGAAAGAAGATGTACACCAGTAAAGACCAATGAGAATTCCCTTCTTCTTCGCCAACCACTCTCCTCCTCGTTATCTCCTCCCCTCTTATTCAAACAAGAAATAATAATAATAATGTTGAATGGACGAACCAGAATCGATGTCCGAATCCCTCTTCTACTGCAGGCATCACATGAGGTCCACCATAGCCATTGCCACCCCTCTTCCTCCTCCTTCCACGGCCGAGGCTATGGCGGACTACCAGGGCCCTGCCCTGCTGTGCAAAGGACAACACAAAGCAGCTATGGCTGCTCTAGCTCAGGCCGCCATGCCTGACTCTGCCTCGAAGCTTCTTGGTGTAGCTCTACCCCAACGGGGCCTTCCAGATGCAGCGCCCACCAACTTAAGGTGATGACGATGGCATCCACCATAGCCAGGTGAGTGCCTCTGGCGCTCTCCCTCCTAGTCCTGGTCTTCTTCCTCCTCCTGTCCTTCCACCCCAGCAGCGCTGCTCCTGATGCTTAGCGCTGCTCCAGTCAGTGCTCCAACCAGTGTGTTGCCAAATTTGCACACCGATAATGAGGAGAAGCACTTTGCTCCTCCTGGAGATATAGCGGCTTCCTAGGCCGGGAGGCCTCCAAGCAACCAGCACCTCCTCCCTTTCGGAGGGAAACATCATTGCAGACTCTGATATTGCCCGTACAGGCCCTAGACTCAGACTGGTTGGACTGGTACCTGACTAGACCTAGCCTACAACTACTGGGCCTAATAAAAAATGCCAGCTTTTGTCTTCTTCTGCTTGGCTTCGAGTACCCGGCACATCTTCCTCTACTTGGTGTGGTACCGGCCTATCTGCTACTGGAGTGTTTTTCCACTGCCCTTAAGTGTCGCGGGCCTCTTTCCCCGCCACTTGAGTGTTTTTCCCCGCTGCAACCCTCAATGTCACAGCCACAGGTAAGCACTGGCCCTTCGGGCCTTCCGAACGAATAAGTGCCCTTGCGAGTCACACACACACTCAAGCCGACAAACACTCAGACAGGCATGCAGACCAGCAAGCACACACACACTCACATACTTAGAAAACTCACCAACGCATACATTCCATGAGCAAAACTCAGAAATCAGCTGTGTGTCTCAGTCCGTGTTTGGCAGGTCATTACATTCTTCTTAAAGTTGGTGCTTTCTTTTTCATCTCGTTGCTGGTGCTAGGTGTTCTAGGAGGTATCTGGCACACTGTTGAAGCATCGGAGGAACTTCTGGACATCGTTGATGCTGCTGAGACACGCTGGTGGTCTGCAGAGTAGTGAGGGTTGGGTGAGGGTTGGGGCTGTGAAATTGGGTTGTGCGCCATGACCAGCTATGGTGATCGAGCTGGAGGGAGGAGGACGACTCTGGGAACTTGATGAATCCGTGTTCTGAGGTTGTTCGAGGTGGTTTACTCTCGATTGTGATCCTTGTTTTTTTTTTTGTGTGTGGTCCTGCTTGAGCTGGAGAGTGGCGAGGGACTTGGAAAAATTCTACTCAATTCTTCGTGGCTACTGGACTTCTGCTGCACATATCTCTGTTTGGTGTGGTGTGAATCCCTCTCCGAATCTGCTTTGTCATCTCCGTGTGTTTGTGGGAACATGGCGATGCTCTGCTGGACTGCGTTCTCAACCAGTTACATAGCACACACACAAACAGCGACAGCCACACAGAGAGAGAGAGAGAGAGAGAGAGAGAGAGAGAGAGAGAGAGAGAGAGAGAGAGAGAGAGAGAGAGAGAGAGAGAGAGAGAGAGNAGAGAGAGAGAGAGAGAGAGAGAGAGAGAGAGAGAGAGAGAGAGAGAGAGGTCTGTCAAAGAGGAGCACATAACATAACACAAAACTTGATACTTTGGACGGTAATTTCAAGAGTGCACTTTTTTTCCGGAGAGAATCCTTACGCAACGTAAGTCTCTGAGGCTCCCAAACATGCCAGCCAATGACATTGGGGGACTTCTGTTTTTTTTTTTTTTTTTTTTTTTTTTTCTTCGTATGAATAGATAACTGATGGGGAACATTAGAAGTTTATAGTCTGATCTCTGCAGGTAAAAACAGGATGCAAGAACTGAGGGATTTCACTTGTTAGTAGAGTAGTAATAATAAAACGGAAGAGGACAAGGAATGAACAGGGAATTTTCAAACAACTTACACCGTTGGATTGCTCATATAATGATCGTGAAAAATTGAAACATATACATAGAAATAGCCTTCCTCCAGCTCCAAGCCATACTGACGAAGGCCAACAACCACAACAAAAAGTCAAAACTTCTAAAAAGTCAAAGGAATCAGAAGGCCAAGGCATGGGAAGCAAATCATTTGTCCAAGTGCAGGGAATGTCTAGTGGTTCCCTCTGAAGAACCCATGATGGTCGGCAAAACTTGTCGGGGGGTCTCATGCCATTGGCACTCTGCCGAAACACGCTTTCTACTTTTCAAGTGCGATTGATCTTCAGGGTAAGTGGCAGAACTTTTTTTTTTTTTTTTTTTAATAAACATATTTGAAGGCGTATTCTGGTACGCCCAACCAAAATTCAATTACCTGTCGAATCCGGACAGGATGGCCTTTCAGGCCTTTTTTTATTTTTTTGTCATTAGAATCGTTTCCCTTCGTTCGTTTGACTGTTTGAACAACAAACAAGTTTTCTTTCTTTCTCTCTTCCTTTAAGTTAGGGGGCTGGCTGACCCCTTGTAAATTCATTCTGGGAAGGCTTCAATCCAGGTAACTGCTTCATCTTTTCACTTTTTTCACTTTTTTTTTCGTTTTTGAATAAACAGGTCCTTTATGGTTCGGGCTCCTTATCCATTCTGGAGACCGTCCGTCCGGTCCCTATTCGCCCGGCGGCAAGTCGAGAATGAGGACCAGATCCCACTGGCAAAGAGGATTGGAAGAAGCGTCTGAATCTCGACGTGTTCCACGCAGAGTTGCCAAAAAGTAGATCAATCACCATTTTTTTTCGCACCTGTCCACAAACACGTCCACATTCAGACACTTACTACAATGATCCTCTTTGCCGGTGGGATCTCGCCGTGAAATACATGGTGAACACCCCCACATATCCTTCCACATGAATGACTCTTCCAAGTTCTTGTTTGAGAGAGTACGGCTGTGATCAGACTGCATGCAGACTGCATGTGTTGAAATGTTCATCAAGGATTACAGTAACTTCCCCCAGGTTCAAACAATTCTGATCGACGCCAAAAAAGTGCCAAAAAGCAGAAAATGCCAAAATGGTGAAAACCCCCAAAAGAGTCCGAAGAATTGGAAACTGAAGGCAGAAAGAGGCAGCAAGATAACCAGAGGATTAACAGTGAAAAAAAAAAAAGAAAATGCACAACAAATTTAGAAAAATTCAAAAAAACCACCAGAGTCTTCTGAACGTCATGGGCCAAAAAGTTCATTAAAGTTTAAAATAAATAATTTAAAAAAATATATATAAAAAAATCAATGATTTATAAATTTCACAATTTTGAGTTTTCCACATACTGGAAGGAATTCAAAGGGGAAAACTGAGCAGAGGCTTGAAAGTTGAAACAGATACCAGACAAAAAAAAAAAGAAAAGGATTTTTATAAAATTTTAATCATTTTCGATTATTATTATTTTTTAAAATCACTGGTACCTTTGCCGAGTGGGAAAATAGTGGGCCTCGGGTGGGTCTCCGACCTTTTAGGAGGCCGAAACGAAACGACGGCCGCCGACGAGGTTTATCAATGGCAGCCATCGTCGGGCCCGGCCTTCGAACTCTTCGTGAACAGGTGTTTTCCCTAATTTCCCAACACTGGCGGAGGAACTTTGGTCGTGCTTTAAAGGGGGGGGGGAAATGGACCCTTTCCAAACTCCAAATAGACTTTGAAATCGAGATAGACTCGGAGAAACAGCCTGTAAACCGAATGAAAAGCAAATGACTAGTGAGATCTAGTTCCAGACCAGGTTCCACTTCCAGTTCCAGATCCAGATGAGGTCTAGTTCCAGATCTAGGTCCAGGTGTAGTTCCAGATCTACAGTCTTCCCCCGAATACAACGTACGGTCATTATAGCTGAATTTGGTCTATCTTTCCGTCTAAATTCATTTATAATGACCGTACGTTGTATTCGGGGGAAGACTGTAGGTACAGGTCTAGTCCCAGGTCCAGTTCCAGGGCTAGTTCCGAACCTGGTTCCAGATGACCAGATCTACTTCCATACGTACTATACAGCAGAAACAGACTACGAACCCAATGACAAAAACAAATAACTTGTGAGATCTAGTTCCACATCTAGTTTCAGTTCTAGTTCCAGATCGAGTTCCAGGTCTGGTTCCAGCTGGACCAGCTCTAGTTCCAAACCCAGTTGAACTTCCAGGTCTAGTTCCAGGGCTAGTTCTGGACCTAGTTCCAGATGTACTACCATATTTACTGTCCAGATCTAGTTCTGGATCTAGTTTCAGATCTAGTTACAGATCTAGTTGCAGACCTAGTTCCAGAACCACAATTTTGCTTTCATGGTTGGACACGAGTGCTTGGCTGCCCTCACTGGCATGATTTCTGGATGGTTGGCTCCGGAACTTGCCATTTGGTCCCGTCGTTGTCCAATGAAGGGGCAGCCCCTAACATTCGTTGAGTCCAGGATTCAAACTCTTGATCTGCTGACATATATGTAGCCGTCAGCTTCAGCGAAAGTGTTCCTGCTACCGTCTTCTGGCATTTCCCGCAGTTTTTGCATTTGAAATGACGCTTCCGTTTCAAATTTTCATTGACGATTATCATAAGAAGCTCATCTGTAACCTCATCGCACAGAGAGGGCATACCCTAGGGTATACACCAGGGTTAATACACTAGTGTCTATACCCTAGGATATACTCTACCCTAGGGCTATACACCAGGATTATACGCTATGTACTTATATACACTAGTGTATAAAACCTAGGGTTAGTGTATATACCCTAGTCACTGCTAGTGTATACATAATGTATATCCTAGTGTATATATTCTAGGGTTAGTGTAAATACCCTACTCACTTCTAGTGTATATACACCCTGGAAGCCCACCTCTAACATCAATGCACCCAGACAAAGCCCTAAGCCCTAACCCCTAAGCCCTAAACCTTGGAAACCCACTTGTACTTCGTCGCGCAGAGCTGGTCCCATAACCTAAACCCTGAATCGTAGAATTCCACCTTTGATCTCTAACCCCCCGAAGTCCACCTGAGGGCCCTAACCCTGAACCCCCTAAACCTCTAAAGGCAAGGACTAGGAGGATGCTGAAGGTGTATGAGTGTAGGGAGGGGTTGCAAACGGGAAGGAGGGGGGTTAGAAAAAGGGTAGGCGGTGTGTGGGACTTAGAGAGGGTTCTATAGTGCAATAATCTTCCTATTGAGGAGGATAGTTCACAGGCATTCTGCTATGGGCAGAATTGAGTGTCAGACTGTGAGTGACATGTCGGGGAAAGGGGCAGATACTACCGTCTTCACCCGAATACAACGTACGGTAATTATAGCTGTCTTTGGGCCCAACTTTGAGTCTAGATAAAGCAATAATGACCGTACAGTGAATTCGGGTGGCCCGCCCGGGAGAACAAGGTGACCCAGGTGGCCCGGCTGGTAGCCTAGGTACACAGTGTACAGAGAACTTACTCTGTCCAACCAGAGACTCTCGAGCTGTTGCGGGGAAACATCTTCAGGAGGCCTTAAGCTGCAACCTTACAAAGAAAGAAGAGAAAAATGGAAACAGCAGAGATTTCAGATTGGAAACCAAGTTGAAACCAATATTTAATACCATCTTTATTTTTTTTTATTTTTTTCTTTTTCTTTTCTTTTCTTTTCTTAGCCGGTTCCACCACCGCTAGGAGGGGTGATAAGAGCACCACCTTCTAGCAGATTGCCAGGTTGCTCCAATCTATTGATGAGGAGCTACACCTGCTGGAAAGCAGGGAAACCATCTTCCTCTTCTTCTTCTTCTTTTTTTTTTTTTTTGAATAAACAGAACCTTAGGGTTCCAGCTCCTTTTCCATGCTGGGGAGCGTCAGTCCGGTTGCTATTCCAACACAGTGTACAGAGCACTTGAATATTGAAATCAATTTTAAATTTTTTTTTTTTTTTTTGGAAATGTAAACCAATCCACTTGAGACCAATTTCTGACCAAAAACTGGAAACCATTTCGAACTTTGGAACATACTGAAATTTGGGACTAATTTGAATTTTGAAACCCAATTTGCGCCGAATATAAATTTGAAAAGCAATGTTTGAAACTTGCCGAGGCTGTTTGTCCGGGCGCCCGGGCAACCGCCTTGTGGCCGGATAGAGGCCTGGGTGCGCGGCCATGCATGAACCCTTGGCAGGGTTCCGCGCAGCCCCAGCGGCAACAAGAAAAAGGGGAAAAGCAAAAGAAAAGAAAAAATCCAGCAAAAAAAAAAAGTTGTGTAGATTTGCAATACAAACAACGCTCAGCTGCGGGTCATATCAGAATTACTCACGGACGAAAAGATAAACGTGAAAACAGAAGAATCGGACAAAGGTACCCCCCTTTTAAACCTGTTATGACCCTGGCCAATTTCGAGATACACATCCATCAGAAGGCACAATGCCATCCAATTGCAGAAAGAAATGAATGAACTTGAGAGGAGAGAGAGCATTAGAAGAAGAAGAAGAAGTAAGAAAGAAGAAGACGAAGATGTACACCAGCAAAGACAATGACAAGGCTCTTCTTCTTCGCCCAACAATCTCCTCCTCCTTATCTCCCCCTCCTCTTATTCATACAAGAAATAATAATACAATGTTGAATGACTGGTCCAGAATCAATGTCCGAGTCCCTCTTCTACTGCAGGTATCACTCAAGGTCCACCATAGCCATGGCCGCCTCTCCCACTCTTCACTCTCATAGGCCGAGGCTATGGCGGACTACTAGGCCTTGCCCAGACGTCCAAAGGACAACCCAAAGCAGCTATGGCTGCTCTAGCTCAGGCCGCCATGCCCAACCCTGCCTTGACGCTTCTTGGTGTGGCTCTCCCTGGCTGGGGACTTCTTGCTGCAGCGCCCACCAAGGTGATGAAGATGGCTGCCACCATAGCCAGGTAAGTACCCCTGGCGCTCCTCCCCCTTTCTTCCTCCTTCCTCCTCCTTCCTCCCTCATGTCCTTCTCCTTCCTCCCCAGCAGCGCTGCTCCAGCCAGCGCTCCACCAGTGTGTCGCCAAACTGGCACACCGAAAAAGAGGCCGGGCCTGAAGATATAGCGCCCTGCTTTGCCTCTTGGGCGGTGACTTCCAGGCCGCTGGCCTTCCCAAGCAACCGGTACCTCCTCCTTTTTTGGAGGGAAACATCATTGCAGACTCTGATATTGCCCCTACAGGCCCTAGACTCAGACTGGTACCCGCTAGACCTAGCCTACACTACCGGCCTCTAAAAATGCCACTTTTGTCTTCTTCTGCTCGGCCTCCGGTACCTGCATATTTACCCCTCTGCCGGGTGCGGTACCGGCCTACCCGCTACTTGAGTGCTTTTTCCCCRCTGCAACCCTTCAAAGCCACGGCCACAGGTAAGTACCGGCCCTGAGGGCCCAACGAACGAACAAGTGCCCTGGCGGGCCACACACACCCATAGCAACCAGCACTCAGACAGGCACAGTCACACACACGCAAGCCAACCAGCACTCAGACAGACATGCAGTCCAGCAAGCACACACACACACAGACTTAGCAGGCGGGGAACTCAGTAGGGCATTCAGTCTATGAGCAAAACTCAGAAATCAGCTGTGTGTTTCAGTCCGTGTTTGGACGGGTTATCACAAACCGCTTAAGCCCCTCAAAAACCACTTTACGGCCCGGAGTAAAATGTGAGATGACAGAGGTCACGTAAAAAATATATATCTCACGGATTCTCACCTGAAAATGACCCTCAATTAAGACTGAAAATTTTGCGAAGATTCATTGATTCCTCGGAATCGTGGGTGAAAAACATGGACATTATTATGTCGTTGATGTGTCTCTGTTCAGGGGATATTAACGGTAGTGAGATGTTGGGGTTGCAGCCCACAAGTGCGCAACAATTATGTTTGTGAGAACTTACCAGTGACCAGACCTTCGCAGAGTGACGGAAGCACACAGCATCGTATGGCGTTCACCGAATCTTCGGGAAAGCTTCCGCTTTCCATCCATCTCCAATCCATCAGCTGAATCATCTGTCCTTGTTCAAAGTCGAGTCTCGTCTTTTCTGAAAGAACGCTGGAAATCTGTCATAACAAGAGGGGATTCGAAGTCGTCGACAAGGACCCAAAATTAAATTTGATGTGAAAAAAGAAACAAACTTAAGAACAAAATGATCTTAAAGAAAAAACAGAAAAAAAAAGAACAAAATGATCTTCACAGAGGAGAAGTTTCGATCAGAAGACAAGATGACCTGTTGCGGCTTCGCTCGCAAAGTAAAAGAAGTCGCATGGCATCAAGAGGGGTGTGGCAAGGGGAGGGGTTGGGGGAGAAAGAGGGCGTTGCGGCCCTCATGCTGCGTTTTCTCACCTGTCGAATGCTAGGCTTCTTTTGGAAGGTGTCGTCTTACCTCAGGTGTGGCGTTTGAGATTCGTCGGCCTGCGCCACCGACTCCGGCCTCGGCCTCCGCCCACCTCCCCTCTGCCTCCTCCCGCCAGATCCTCTCTTTCCTCCCCTGCCTCCGCCACCTCCCCTCCGCCTCCTCCCGTCCGCCTCCTCCCGCCATCTCCTCCCGCGATCCCCTCTCGCCAACTCCTCCCCGCCTCCGCCTCTCTATCCCCTGTGTGTGTGTGTGTGTGAGAGAGAGAGAGAGGGGGAGAGAGAGAGATAGAGAGAGGGAGCGGCCTGTGCCACCTCTGACCTCGGCTTCCGTCCACCTCCGCTCACCCTCTGCCCACCTCAGCTCGGCCTCTGCCCAGCTCCCCTTTGCGTCCCCCCGCCAGATACTCTCTCTTTCCTCCCCCGCTTCCGCCACCTCCCGTCCGCCTCCTTCCGCCATCTCCTCCCGCGATCTCCTCCCGCCAATTCCTCTCTGCCTCTGCCTCCTCCTCCCTATCCCCTGTGTGTGTGTGTGTGTGTGTGTGTGTGTGTGTGTGTGAGAGAGAGAGAGAGAGAGAGACCGCGGCCTGCGCCACCGCCTCCGGCCTCAGCCTCCGCCCACCTCCCCTCTGCCTCCCCCCGCCAGATCCTCTCTTTCCTCCCCCGCCTCCGCCACCTCCCCTCCGCCTCCTCCCGTCCGCCTCCTCCCGCGATCTCCTTTCGCCAACTCCTCTCCACCTCCGCCTCTCTATCCCCTGTGTGTGTGTGTGTGTGTGTGAGAGAGAGAGAGAGAGAGAGGGAGGGAGCGGCCTGCGCCACCGCCTCCGGACTTGGCCTCCGCCCACCTCCGCTCGGCCTCTGCCCACCTCAGCTCGGCCTCCGCCCAGCTCCCCTTTGCGTCCCCCCGCCAGATCCTCTCTCTCTTTCCTCCCCCGCCTCCGCCACCTCCCGTCTGCCTCCTCCCGCCATCTCCTCCCTTGATCTCCTCCCGCCAACTCCTCTCTGCCTCCGCCTCCCTATCCCCTGTGTGCGTGTGTGTGTGTGTGTGTGAGAGAGAGAGCGATCACGGCCTGCGCCATCGCCTCTGACCTCGGCCTCTGCGCACCTCCGTTCGGCCTCCACCCACCTCTGTTCGGCCTCCGCCCACCTCCGCTCGGCCTCCGCCCACCTGCGCCCACCTCGGACCAACTCCCGTCCATCTCCGCCCACCTCCATCAGCCTCCCCCCGCCATCTCCTTTCCTCCGCCTCCGCCACCTCCCGTCTGCCTCGTCCGGTTACCTCCTCCCGCCATCTCCTCTCCGCCTCTGCCACCTCCCGTCCGCCTCCTGCCGCCATCTCCTCTCCACCTCCGCCACCTCCCGTCCGCCTCCTCCCGCCATCTCCTCTCCACCTCTGCCCTCCTGTACGCCTCCCGCCATCTCCTCTCCACCTCCTTTCCGCTGCCCGCACATCCGCCATCCCTATGCCTGCCTTTTAAAATAAAAACAAAAAAAAATGGTGCGTGCCCGCGTCCCCTCGGCCAGAGCCGACCTTCTGTCCGCCTCTACCCACCTCCCTCCTGCCATTGGGATCGCCAATCTCCCCTCAGCCTCCGTCCGCCTTCCGTCCGCCTCCTCTGGCCATGTCCTCTCTCTCTTTCCGCTCGGCCTCCGCCACTTCTCCTCCACCTCCGCTCACCTCCGCTCTGGGCTCCGTTCCTCTGCCCGCACATCCGCCATCCCGCTGGACATCCCTCTAAAGACCTCCTGTCAGCCTCCGCCCACCTCCCTTCTGCCATTGGGATGTCCCATCTCCCCTTGCCTTCCCCGCACATCGCGACCGCCTCCTCCCGCCATCCCGCTGCACATCGCGTTGTGCGCGCCAACCCTCCCTTCCGCCATTGGGATCTCCCATCTCCCCTTGCCCTCCGCCCACCTCGCGTCCGCCTCCTCCCAACATCCCTCCCTCGGCCTCCGCTGACCGAGATTTCACCCTCCCCTCAGGTTCCCTCCTTCCCCTCCTCTTCCCCCTTCCTCTGTCGTCACACACACACACACACGAGCCCTCTCTCTCTCTCTCTCTCTCTCTCTCTCTCTCTCTCTCTCTCTCTCTCTCTCTCTCTCTTCTCCCCTCTCTCTCCCTCTATCTCTCTCTCTCCCTCTCTCTCTCTCTCCCCCCTCTCTCTCTCTCTCTCTCTCTTCCTCCCTTGATCCCTTTTCCTCCTTTTCTCCCTCTCCCCTTTCCCTCTGTACCTACCCTCTGGGGGATGATTCCGATGGGCCGAAGCCCCGGTTCGATGGACGGCACAGGTTTATGTGCGAGTTATCAACTATATTAGAACTCTTTTCCATTCTTCGAAGTAGCGCATTTTTATTCCCCTGATGATGGCTGTGTCGGCGCACAGCCGAAACATGTCGGGAAAAACGCCGCTCTGCTTCCTGGTACAAACATTTTTTTAACAATGCGGAAGCATTTTTGCGCTACTTTCTGTGTTCTTCTCTTTCCTGTACCTCCCCCTTTTCTCTCTCTCTCTCTCTCTCTCTCTCTCTCTCTCTCTCTCTCTCTCTCTCTCTCTCTCTCTCTCT